AACGTACGGGGTCCAATTCGTCGCCCGCCGGCGTCGTGCGGGTGCCACCGTTTACGAAGGCAACTGGGGCCCTGCCGATGAGGTCCTGGCGGAAGACGCCGAGATGATCGATGTTTAATCACCACGACTTGACATATCTAGTGCATTTGGACGGAGTTGGCGCTTTCCCTTTACAGTACCATCTAATGACGGCGTTTATGCGGAGAACCGAGCTTTTGATATTAATGCCTCTTTTCTCTCGATGACCTTGATGTGATCGGGATGTTTTACCGACCATCCTTCATGATTTGGACGATGTTGATATGACCGATATGCTAGTCCCATGGAGGGGTGGTTGTCCACTCATTCCTCAAAATTTCCTTTGTGAACATGACTCGTTGATTTAGCGATGATGATAGGCTTCTGTTCCTTTTTGTTCTCTTTCTACCTCCCTATCGCGGTTCCTTCCCTTCATGTACCTATGTCGTCACTGCAGGTTGAAAACCTCGTGACGCAGGATGACCGAGGCGACATGTCTATAATCCTATGCCTGCCATCTGTCTTTGCTTTTCCGCTCTTGATTCCCACTACACTTCTTCTCTTCACCACCTTTGTTTTATTGATGCTTCATTTCCTTTGTTGGAGTGACTCGAGAGCACTGGAGTAGTTCTTGCTCGTGCACTTTGGGCGTTTGATGGCCTCTACTACCCTATTTCTAGATGTCTATGTATTAAATATCCTTGGCGTGTGCGCCATTTTCTCTTCGACATTGTGTTCACTTGATTCGATATACCTTTTCTCCTCCCCGCGTGCTTTTGCCTTCTCCTATTGTCCTCACTACTCCATTCTATGTGTCCTTGGCAGACGAGAAACCGCCTCGACGTGATCAAGCCGGCTTGAGAACAGGATAATGCTTGTGAATTAGATATTGAAATGTACATTTGAATTGGACGAAGCAAAACACCCAATTAAGTATCGCGTGAATAAATTAAAATCATCCGAATAGCGTATACTTTTGTATGCAAAAAGGTAGAGAGAGTTGGAGCACCTTCGTCGGAGGCTCGCCACTGGCCGACCTAAATTCGGTCTTGGCGCCCGCCGCGGCGTTCTTGCAGTTCCTCGCCGCGACCTCCATCTTGCCTGCGTCTCCCCGACCCTCCCCAACGCCTTTGTGTCCCGAGCTTTTCTCTAACAACGGCTACGGCCGACTTTACAATAACAAGTCGCCGATTCTATATTAAATCCATTGGATAATTACGATCCCCTTGTTGTTGTTGTTGGCCTTATTCTCAATAACGCGGCGACGATGTGCGGCTCGGTTTAAAGCCCCATCACTGAAGTATTCGAACTGGAAGTTTCTCACCACCGAATGCTAAAGTCTTAGACTTTGCTATCATAAAGCTCTTCCAGGACCTACCAGTATCTGCGATTCTATTTTACTTCGGCTGTGCAACCTCGAGAAAACTCACCCTCACAACATGGATCATCGAACATTCGTGTCGGATTCTCTCCTCCGCCTTACGAACGCGTCGGACCCTACCGTCGTCGACTTCGTGCTTGCCACCGCCAGTTCCGCCAAGTCAGCTTCTGCTTTGCAAGACAAGCTGCTCCCTTTTCTGGACGGTAGCTCCGATGACATTGGTCCGTTTTGCGGCGAACTTTACAAACGGGTTGGGGTAAGGGCCGGGTCCAGCGCTACCAGTGCCAATGTAGCAACCAAAGAGCGCAGTGATGCTGCTTCATCAAAGAAGAAATACCGACTGCTGGAGATGGAGGATGATGACGTACCCGAGGCTCGGGGGTCACTAGGCCCTGCGAATGTCGAGGCCGAACGGGACAGACGGCGACGCAGAGATAAAGATCGGAGCACTGGAAGAAGCGGCAAGGACAGCGAGAGTGGTCGCAGCCGCTGGGAGAAGGATGATAGCCGCAAACGCGATCGCAGTCGGGAAGAGGAATCTCGCGACCGACCCCGGATGAAGAAGGTACGGCGACGGAATGCCGATGACTTTGATGATCGCTGGGGAGATGAGGAGATACCTGAAGATGAGCTATACGAGGATGAGGAGCAGACGGGTGAATTTGAGGAGTCGCCTTCCAAACGGACTCGGTTGGAGGATGGATCGGCGTCGCCGCGGTCGAATGCCTCTGAAGAATTGGATCCAGAGACGAAGAAGGAACAAGACCGGAAACGCGACCTGGAGGAGCGAGATGAGTTCGCGAAACGCCTTGCTAAGAAGGATGATGGCAAGACGAAGAAGATCGTCGAGGATCGGACAAGGTCTGGTGAGGCTGCGCGGCGACGAGCATTGGCGGATGATGCGTCTGCGCGGGCGGCTGTCATGCCTGACTTAAGGATGCGCTCGCGACAGGAGTATTTGAAGAAACGTGAGACGGAGCGCTTGGCCCTCTTGCGCAGACAGGTCGCCGAGGAGACGGCAGAGTTGCGTGATAATCCCCATTTGACCCGCAAGGAGAAGGAGGAGTTCGCGCGTAACCGAGAAGTTCTGCGGATTGCGGAGGAGCGGTTGCGGATTGATGATTATCGCGATGGTTATATGATGCCCGAGGACTATATCACAGAGAAGGGCAAAATCGATCGGAAGAAGAAGGAAGACGCGCTCTACAAGCGTTATGTGGATCGCGATGACGCTGGTCAGGAGCGGTTCATTACGGAGCACGAAGAATGGGAGATGGAGCAGACAGCCAAGGCTAAGGCACAGATCAACCGGGCCGAATTCGTTGACGAGGGCGATTATGAGTACGTGTTTGATGATTCGCAGAAGATCAACTTCGTTGTGGATGCCAAGATGGAAGGCACTCGAAAGCCTATGACGCAGGAGCAGCGCAGGCTTCAAGAGCAGATTGATGCGGCCGAGAAGAAGGCACAGTCGATGGAGGACACGCGGAAGAGCCTGCCCATCTACCAATTCCGAGATCAGATCATTCAGGCAGTGCACGACCACCAAGTTTTGATTATCGTAGGAGAGACTGGTTCTGGTAAGACGACGCAGATTCCGCAGTACCTTCATGAGGCTGGATTCACCAAGGGCGGCATGAAGGTCGGATGTACACAACCTCGTCGAGTTGCTGCCATGAGTGTGGCTTCTCGAGTGGCGGAAGAGATGGGAGTGAAGCTGGGGAACGAGGTTGGCTATGCCATTCGATTCGAGGACAACACCAGCGACAAGACCGTGCTCAAGTACATGACGGATGGTATGTTGCTGCGTGAGCTTTTGACGGAGCCCGATCTCGGCCAGTACTCTGCATTGATGATTGATGAGGCGCACGAGCGAACGGTGCCCACGGATATTGCCTGTGGTCTCTTGAAGGATATTGCCAAGGCACGGCCAGATCTCAAATTGCTGATCTCCTCCGCCACGATGGATGCTCAGAAGTTCCAGCAGTATTTCGACGACGCTCCGATCTTCAACATCCCCGGCCGGCGGTACCCTGTTGATATCCACTATACATCTCAGCCGGAAGCGAATTACCTGGCTGCGGCCATCACGACGGTCTTCCAAATTCATGTCACTCAGGGTCCTGGAGATATCCTCGTCTTCTTGACAGGTCAAGAAGAGATTGAGGCGGCGGAACAGAGTCTCCAGGAAACATCGCGAAAATTAGGGAACAAGATACCCGAAATGATTATATGTCCAATTTACGCCAACCTTCCGTCTGAGCTACAGACTAAGATCTTCGAACCGACGCCGCCAAAGGCACGGAAGGTTGTGCTGGCAACGAACATTGCTGAAACCAGTTTGACTATCGACGGCATTGTCTACGTGATTGACCCAGGCTTCGTCAAGGAGAACGTCTTCAACCCGCGGACGGGTATGGAAAGTTTAGTTGTAACTCCCTGCTCGCGAGCTTCCGCTAACCAAAGAGCCGGTCGTGCTGGACGTGTCGGCCCGGGCAAGTGTTTCCGACTCTATACTAAGTGGGCTTACTACAATGAGTTGGAGGAAAGCACAACGCCCGAGATCCAACGGACCAACCTGAGCAGTGTCATTCTGATGCTGAAGTCCCTGGGAATTGACCAGCTGTTGGACTTCGACTTCATGGACCCTCCTCCAGCAGAGACAATCATTCGTGCCCTGGAGCAGCTATATGCGTTGGGGGCCCTGAACGATCGAGGCGAGCTGACCAAGATCGGGCGACAGATGGCCGAATTCCCAACAGATCCAATGCTGGCCAAGGCGATTCTAGCAGCCGACAAGTACGGCTGCGTAGAAGAAGTGCTGTCAATCGTGTCGATGTTGGGCGAGGCGAGTGCGCTCTTCTTCCGACCCAAGGACAAGAAGATTCACGCGGACAGCGCGCGGAATCGCTTCACCATCAAAGATGGCGGCGATCATCTCACGTTGCTCAATATCTGGAACCAATGGGTTGACTCCGACTTCAGCTATGTCTGGGCCAAGGAGAACTTCCTCCAGCAACGGAGTCTGACACGGGCGCGCGATGTCCGCGACCAGCTCGCCAAGCTATGCGATCGAGTCGAGGTGTCCGTGAGCACTTGCGGCTCCAACAATCTGCAGCCGATCCAGAAGGCCATCACGGCCGGATTCTTCCCCAACGCGGCGCGACTGCAGCGTGGTGGCGACAGCTATCGCACAGTGAAGAATGGACAGACGGTGTACCTCCACCCATCCAGCACGCTGTTCGAAGTCAACCCGCGGTGGGTGATCTACTTTGAGCTGGTGCTGACCAGCAAGGAGTACATGCGCAGCAACATGCCATTGCAGGCAGAGTGGCTGGTCGAGGTGGCGCCACACTATTACAAGAAGAAGGATCTGGAGACGCTGGGGTTGGAGAAGAAGATGGCGAAGGGACAGGGCGCGGCGGGCGAAAAGAGTCGGAATTGAAGATGCGACAGAATATAGTAGAACTATTCTTTATATGTTGATACCAAATGAACAGCTAGCAAATTATAATGTATGTATGCATGCATGTACATCTACTTGCCATCTCAAGTATCTATCCTATGGTCCCATAGTAGTAAGGTACTAATTCCCGCAATACTCGCAGTGCACAGCCGTGACCCAATCACAACCCGCGGATTGCAACACGCGACAAACCGACCGCGGCTTTCCCCCCCCCAAACCAACCTCGGCATCTTCGCATCACCTCCGCCCGCGCCGCCAACTTAAACCACCCAACTTTCCGACCCCGGATTCCAGATTCCAGACTATCCACCCATTCTACCAACAATCACCGCTATTCAACATCCACTACAACCAACACATTAATCCTCCCACCAAACTACCAAACCAAACCAAAGAACAAAACAAAGGAATCGCGAAAAGCGAAAAATAAAAGAATAAAAATGTCCCAAACATTCACCCCGGCCGACGTATCCGCGCACAACAATCCCGACAAGGGAATGTACATCATCATCGACAACAGCGTCTACGACGTCACCAAGTTCGTCGATGAGCATCCCGGTGGCGCGAAGATCTTGAAAAGGGTAGCGGGAAAGGATGCTTCGAAGCAGTTTTGGAAGGTGTGTTTGGATCTCTTTCTTTCTTATTTAGTCCCTCCCTTCTCTGTCTCTATCTTGTCTACGCCGTGTGGGTTGCTTGTTGCTGTTCTTGATAGCTGCTTTTTCTGTTTGATTCTATCCTTTTTGTTTTTTTTTTTTTTTGCCTGGATTTGCCTGGATTTGGGATTATGTTGGGATACTGCAAATGCTAACATCATTATGTTCTTCTTGTTGTTGTAGTATCACAATGAGGGCGTGCTGAAGAAGTATACGCCCAAGTTGAAGATTGGGGAGGTTAAGGAGGCGGCGAAGCTGTGAGATATGGGGGTTTATTGTCTATTTGTCTTGTTGGAATGGGGATCTTTGCTGTTGAAGTTTGATCACGCATATACACTTTAGATGTCGGGATGATGATGCTGCTGCTGCTTGGAGGGGGAGACTGCTCATGGTTCAAACAGTCCTAGACCGTCTATTACTAATAACATTAAACAATAGCTAATTAACTAGCTAAATACTATTCCCGCCAATATAACGAACGAGCAAAGTGTGGTATCCATAGCCGGCGCGCACTTGGTCCAAAGTGCCTTGATAAATCCAAAATACAGATAACTATAGCATCCACTTATGAATCATGTGGGCTTAAAATGTGTTCTAGTTTGGGCCCGCCCTTTCAGAATTCTCCGAACGGATCATGCCGGAGATGCCCGCGGCCCTCTGCGTATGGCGAGTCCAGCTCTTGGTTTGCGCTCCAGGCGCTCGACCCCTTTCGACTGTGTCGCGCAGGCCGCGGGCCCTTGTATCCATTTGTTTGGTCGATGAACGCCTCCATGCGGACCGTGCCAATGGCGTCGAAGAAATTACCAGTCCGCACACTGGTTTCGGACGTGCGGCGACTGACGCTGGCCAGGCTGCCGTTGGCGTATGGCACTACAGGACCGTAAGTGTCTGAGGAGCCGCGCGTCGACGTCGCTGAGGGCATGGTAGCCTGGCTTGAGAAGCTGCGGATGATCGGCATGCGGGGAGAAGTGTTGCTGCGCTTACGCGCATGGTTCGAGAACCGTGGCACTGTCGGCGGGTCTGCAGCATCCATCGACTCGGCGGCTTCTAATGCAGGCGGTAGTTCAGGCACAGGCTCCGGTTGACTGAGAAGGGATCGTTTTCCCTTGGGTCGTGGGCGTGGGCGGCCCTTGGCGATTCGGATAGAGTCCCGGATTGGATTACGGCGCAGCGTGGCCGCGTGGGTGGGTGATGCGAGTTCCTCCTGCGGGACCGGAGGTAGGGAATCCAGGTCATGGAGACCCATGGAAGAGTGACTCAGGAATGACAGTGCAGTCAGCCAGACATAGTGCCGCTCAATGCTAGAGGCAGTGAACTTGAGGGCACGCTGAGGTGTTAAGATCAGAATCGACCGATTGAATTGGTTTTGAGGGTTGAAGCCTTTAGGCAGCGGATTGTCATCCTTGACATCAAGGACAGATTGGATAACCACTAGATTAGGGTCAGTATGAATAAACCAAGGTTAGATAATAATACACAGAGGTTGACTTACATTTCCTACCGCTCTTACCCAACAGGGCTGGCCCGCTGGTCGGTTGTTTGCTGCTCCACATAACTGCCCGCTCATACGGCGCCAGCCAGACCCATCGCTTGTGTCTTGCACCGCTGTTGGTAATATTTGCAGATACCTCTTCTGCATTCCGCCCATCCCAGTTCTCCTTCGGCTCGCCGACACCCCCAAACGACCTCCGTCTCCGGATGTACTTGTACATCCACTCCCCGACCATTGTCTGTGCAATCGCGTCAACAACGCTTGTGGGTTGGACAATGGTGGCTGTAGAGTCCTGCCGTCCGTGCGCAAAGGGGCGAGACGCTGTCGGTGGACGAATCGATCCCCTTTGGACAGCTCGTTTACCTGGAGGCGCAGTGATGTCGTCGTAGGGAAGGGGTGGATGCTGGGGACTGTCTGGCCCACAGGACGATGAGGACATGGTTGGCGACGAGCGGCTTCCGGGACGGTCATGCGGATCTACATGCGACATGGCAGCCGCAGACCGAACTCTGCGCAGGGTCGGACGTCGAACAATAGACGGTCTTCCTCGATCCGAGAAGTTGCGAGGATTGGACGGTGTTGGACTTTGCCGTCCGTCGCTGCCGCCGGGGAATTTCCTGGAACTGAACCGCATCGGCACAGGAATGGGAGGTGCAATGCCATGAGCACCATTACCACTCTCCATACTCGGCTCGCTGGGGCTCCGCTCGCGAGGTATCCGATGTGCTGTTGCCCCGTTGGAGATCATGGCTGTTTTACGGATATCCTGCTGCCTTGCTCCAATGCCGAATCGCTGAGTCCACGAAGATGGTCCAACTACCTCCTTTGAGCCTGGGTCAATCGATGCTTCTGCCAAATCAGCCTCGGCTTCTCGTAGATGCTCGTCAATTTCCGGAAGAGGAGACTCGTCCAAGCTAGGACGTCCGTGCGTAGAGACGAGCTTTCCTCTCTTCAAGGTATACGACGCAAATGGCCGGTTCAAGAAATCATCGTCGGTGAAAACGTCCTTAGGCTGCACAGGGGTCTCTTCATCACTCGCTTGTTCGAAACCAGCAAAGAGGCTACTCGATCGTAGAGGCCGCTTGTGTTCTGACTTGGACCCCTCAGCCAGCGGGCCGTTGTCATTGTTTCCCGGATAGGCTTGCACTGGCTCGGCTGGCTTGGTGCGTACAGATGATTTGCTCTCCCGTCTCTTTGATCTTGGAGGAGGGGCATGATACGGCTGGATAGGAGGATCCTGGGCATTTTCGCCCAGTGGGAGGTCGGGTATCGCTGATGGGAGTAGACTGGCTGGTAACTTGACAGGCCTTTGATCAATCCGAATCTCTTCTGTCTGGATGCCAATGGTTCGACTGTCGATGCTCGGAGTGAAGTTAGCCTGGCAGGAAACGCTCTTAGTTTGGGGTGGAAGAACCACGCTTCCTCGGGGCGAAGGGGGCTCCGAGTGTGGCGGGTGTATGGCGATCATTGGGATATCAATCTCGGGCGACTCCATGTCGTTTGGCGAGGCACTGACTCCCTTGTCATTTGTCTGTGCGACAGGAGTTTGCACCGTCTGTACCGACACAGACACCATCGGGGTCACCTCTGGGGCGGGCTGCGGTGTCTCGTCCAGCTTAGGAGTCCATGGGGGAGTGGGAAGGTCTTCGACAGTTTGACAGGAAGCCGATACCATATCAATTGTAAGCGCCGATGTGCCACTATCTTTACCTTTATAGTGATTCGCAATTTTGCTATCACGGCGCTCTGCAGTCTGCTCCACGGACGGTAGTTCAGGTTTTGATGGTGACACGGGCGACGGGGGAGGCGAATACTGGATGCCTGCGTCGCAGTACACATAGGGTGTCGTGGACATTTTCAAAGGGCTACTGGGCTCTGAGCCCCCATCAGCCTTGAACCCATGGCCATCTGCACTGGTCAGAGAAAGGCCGAGGATTTTCCTCGCCTTGGCACCCATGCTCATTGTGCAAGAAAACTGCGAGTGAACGGAAGCCGGCCGTTCTTCTGGAAGTGCCTCGGGCGACTCTGGTACAAAATCGGCTTCAAAGGACTCGAACTCGTCTTCCTCGTCAAATGCCAGTTCTTGAGCCAAGCTCAGCCCCTCGCTCTTAAAACCATGGGCGGTGGCTACACTCGCGACGGAGTACCGCACGTTGTGATAGTCAGTCTCATCGACGCTGTCAGCACTCACACTTGTGACACTGGTCCGACGATGCCCTTGACTGCTTCTTGAGTCAACACTTGCAGAGTCGCTGTCTTTCCCGACTTCTACCAATGTTGCGGTCCGATCACGACCAGAGTCATCGGAATTCTGGGCTGTGTGAAATGAGCCAGCTGCTTGAGCAGCGGCTACCTCACTCAACACGACCTTCAGGCGCCCTTCCACCACATGCACTTTTCGTTCCAAGTTTCTCCGTTCGCCTTCCCAAGCATCTTTGTCTCGGCTCCAAAGCTGTGCCGTTCTCTCTACCTCCTCTTCACGGCTTCGTGCCTTCTTCTGGGCTTGTTCTAGCTTCTTACGGACATCTGTAATGTTCTCTAGGGCTTCATCACGCTCTCGTGCTAGCTCAGTGAGGGCGGACGAAGATCCACCTTCCAGCAGCTGCAATTGATGCTTGAGCGAACGAGACTCCTTAGTGCTCTTGGATAGACGTTCAGTGAGACCTTCGTTCTCCGTTCGTGATTCGTCTAGAGTCCGTTCGAGTATATCAATTGCCTTTGCTTTACCCTCCACGTCTCGCCGCAGAGAAAGAATTTCGGAGACAAGTGAGGCATGTAGTGTAGGTGTGAAGCGCCGCGGATCTAGTGGCGACAAGTTGTCCTCGTCAGCAGTATCCTCATAGTCACTGCGGGCATCGGGCGAGAAATTCAGGATCGGTAGGGAATTAGGCGAAGACGACAGGCCGGGGGAGGAATCTGCCCGAATGTGTATCGAAGGAGGTCTTTGCGGTGTTGCAGACGGCGTCGGGAAGGCCCTCGCCGCAGGGCTTGAGTAGACGGTCTCAGTGGCCATTGTGTGTGTATGCCCAAGGTCGGTGGATGTTCGACAGCTCAACACATCCCCTCAATTGCAACTGAGCAACCAAAGATTGTAGTACCGCGTCATGCGCTTTCCATGAGCTTTACATATGCTGTGATCCTCGACGTCCCCAGCAAGGACCAGCTCGACTGGCCGAGGCCTGAATGTGCCAGCCGTTCGCCCGTCAAAATCTATTGAAGCGTCGTCTACTAGTCTTTCTGGCGCAAAAGGGTAGACCTGATCAGCACATGGTGTCTGCTTCGAGCGCCAAGGGACGCGGTTGGAAGTAGGGCTGGAGACCAGATAAGGCATGCAGAAACAAGGATGGTACTTACCTGCGATCGAATCAGAGTTCAAGGCTTGCCACCTTCACAATGCACAGGCTGCAGGCGCGTCAATGCAAATGAGTGTGCTAGGGAAGAGAGGCCAGTGAGGGGGAGCAAAGTATGAACTGAGTCAAGGTCTCTCTCTTGACGCGGGGATGGGGAGGAGGGGGGCAGGATGTATGGAGGGAAACAGGATCGGAGGGCGATCAAGAAAGCAGCAGCGTCGCGAAATCGGATCCCAAAATATTTAGTTTTATTACCTGCCAAAGGCCGCGGAAGTCTAGACAAAGGATCTGAGGGGAAAGGGGAGATTGTTTGCCAGACCACCCTCTAGTGATTTGGAGTACACCGGCTCAAGAGCTAAACTGGGCCTTGCACGAAAGAACCTTGTCCATGACCCATACATCGGGCGGGGGACAGCTAGCCCAGTAAATGAGTGATGAAGGTAGGCCCATTCGACAGCGGAGTTATTGTCTGCCAGAACCAGAGCAAACTAGCGCATTAGCTTCGTCCAGGGGTGTTCGTTAGGGGGAAGATGGGGAACCGAAGGCCAACTCCACGCACCCAATGACTAGTGAGGAGAGAAACCACCGAGCGGCTCCACTAGAGCTTGCCACAGCTGGGCTCGAGGATCCCGATCCAATAGGCAAGTGATAGAGGATGTGTCCGACAGTGCGACGGATCGGCCGCCGCCATTGCAGATGAATGGCTGGTGACCGGCGGACTGGTAACAGCCAAACCCTCGTCGGTGGAAAAGCATAGCCAATGAAAGAAAGCAGCCGAGCAGGAAATAATAATATGTAATAAAAATAACAAGAGGCAGTGATACCTGTCTACAGAAGGAAAAGGGACTCGAGTCGAATCTGAAACAAGGCGACATGCATTGATCCTAGCACACCGCGGGAACAGGGGATGGCAAACGCGAAAGCAAAAGCGAGGGGGGCAAAGAAAAAAAAATATAATAAAACTAATCAATATAATCAAAAGGAGGATGGTAAGCTGAAGATCGTCCCTGTGAACTTTGTACTTTCTTGTGCGAATCCGATGAAAGTGTATCCAATGGGAGGGGGCAAGGGAATCCCAGCACAAAGTAGGAAGGGAAAAATGGAAAAAAGAAAAATAATTCAACAAAAATAAAATTGGCATTAATAGAAAGATAAGCCAATTGAATGAAAAAGCAAAAACTTACAAGACCAAGCTAAGGTGGACTAAAACGCGACCGAAGTCGACCAAAAAACACGGCCGGCACAAAGACTGCCGGGCGAAGGTCGTTAAAAACCGTAGTACTTGAACTTGACGGCAGTTCGTGTCAGTCACTAGTCGGGTCCACCGGTGGACTCAATGGGATCGTCGCCTCTCCTCGATTTCGATTCTGCGCCTGCTGGTTGGTGAGATTGCCTTAAACATGACTTCTCTCCGATGGCCAAGATATATTGGTAGCCTCGTTGCCATTTATCGGCCATACCGGGCGAGCGTCTTGACAGTGGATGTTGAATAGTCACTGGGATAAGTGAGGCCAGCCTGCAGGGACTGACTCCAGCCGACGCGACGATGGGTGTACTAGCCGTCGAAGAAAGTTTGCATCTCCCCAATCGTATGATTGAATGGCGAGCGGGAGGCTTCAGAACATCTTGTTCAAAGCCACCAATGGATTTTCCAACAAGCCCGTGCTTCATGTTTCAGAATCCTTTCACCAGCCCCAGAAAAAGCTGCGCAACTTATATTTAGGAAAACCGTCCCGTCACGTCCTGATGGAGCGCTTGTTACCCCCGATCTGCTTTCAGACCCGGAGTAGACTCGGAGTTCCTTCATCAAGTTGGTCGTCCCGGAAGTTGGTGGTTCAGTTGTCAAGGGCACCTAGTACAGCATCTGACATACAATCACATGGGAGGCGTTTAATTTCCGCGCTTTGTACTCCATACAGTGCTACCTGTGCTCGTTGATTCCCGAGCCCAACACAAACCAGAAGGGGTGCACGAGAGGAACAGTCGGGAAGGATCCTTGGGTGCTTCCGTTCAGCTTAGCTCCCCACTTATCATTTCCCCTGTTCCCTGGTTCAGGACCACCTTGGGAGACGGCCCGGCGCTCAACTTTTAGGTAGTGTCTCCAGTCCGGAAATTACATACCAGGGAGGCGGGGAGACTGAATGACCCTTCGCAGACTTCCTTGCTGTTGGCAGCCTGCGAGGGAAAACGTCTCCTCGTGATCACTTCTGCGTCAACGGACGGGATCTATAGTAAACTCGCCTTTCCTGTCACCAACTCATCACGGACCTCTGGGGTGGATATGTATTCATATCGAATTCACTTAATGGCTTGGCGACCATCGATGTTTGCCGTCTGCGATCACCTTTCGCGCGCGGTCCGTGTGACGCAAGGCGATGATGTGCGTTAGATCGTAAAGGAATGGAGCAAAAAGGACTTGTCGCCAGCTAGTATCTATCTAGTTATCAATCCGGTATTGCTCAGTCAAATCAGCATCCGACATTCGTCCCTGGCTCAATTAAGAGAACGTGAGCAGTTACGTACCAAAGCCAATTGGCTTGCAGTCTAATCGGCTGTAGTCTGCGCCGGCTTCAAGCTTGGCGACCCACGCGGCAAGATGGACTAGAATTTGCGCCTTCCGGCCTTCGTCTCAGGGGTAAACCGGACCTGACAGGTCGGCCGTGCGTTACCTGAACGGCTGTGCAGGCTGCAGTGTGAAGTAGACAGGGATCATACTTAGACAGTCCATATTAAATTGTTGTATACAATAATAACTATAATACTAGTGTTAATCTCCTAATATCCAGTAGTGACTCGTTAATACCTCGCCGGAGAACATCCGCGGTTGGTCTGGACTGGTCCGGCTGGTGTCTCGGATGTTGTCGCGTCGCTCCAGAGAGCACCAGGATCAACTATCATAGTACTAACAACGCATCCCGAAAGAGGTGATCACATAGATAGTGTCTTCCTGGCTAGACTAGGAGACCGAAGAGACCTCCCTGGCACAGTCGACGAGAGTCGCTACTCCGGTCTTAGACAGACCAAGATCACGCCGTTTGAAGGATCATCGGGCTGCAGCTGTCATTATCCAGGAAAGGATAACTAGAAGATGCCCTGGTCAGCCAACGGTGAACGTTCAATGCAGGGCCAGCGATGCGCGGACCTCCAGTGAGACGTAACCCCGTACTTTCCTGTCTATTAACCTGAAGCAGCGATGGATGGTGATAATGTGATAGATCCAGGGATCACCGCAGCTTGTGGGGTTGGGGGAACCTCATTTAATACTTTCTTTGCCTCTCCCGTCTCTGTACAATCGTGTTAGAGCAGCCAGTCGGGAGTCTAATCCGAAGTCTGAACAGCAAGTAGAAGTAATGAAAGTCTCGTCACTTTTCGAACACGGCACAGAGAGGAGGGGGTAGAGAGCTGAGAAAGGAGGGGATTAGTCTATGGGAGAGAGAATGAGAGAGAATGAGAGAGGGAGAGTCGATCGTTTTGCATGCTTTGCATCGCCAGAACTCTTGGCTGATGTTTCTGCCGGGACACACTTTCTTCTCCTTCGCCATTCTTTCCCCTCATGACTCCATCGTCGCTAATTTCTTCTATTTTTCCCCAAGGATTGTGGGATTCATATATCTAGATAGGTTAGACAAACAACTTAGAGCCGTGGAATCATCAGTAGGAAGTGTTGTTGATGCTTTAGCTCGGTCGGCGCCTTCGGACATCCTCTCTGCTACACCGCAGCGTGCATATCTTACAGACCCGCGAAGTACCGCTATAGAACGCATCTCTTCCGTACCCCGTACACACATTCGCCAAGATTCAAAGCTCTAAAATTACGTCCCGACAGACAGGTACCTTCAGCGGCGTTGTGCAATACGGAACACGGACAGTGACACCCGAACCTTACATCAGGTAGATAGGTACGCCACACGAGTCAAATCATACATACCATCATGTCGATCAGCCCACTTCCAAAAGTACTTTTCTTTGACATCTTCGGCACTGTCGTGGAATGGCGCTCCTGCGTTACTCGGGCCCTGATGAAAGCGGCTGAGCATGCTCTGCTCGATCCTGGAAAGCAGCTTCCAGCGGACGTCCGCGCACGGGTACAGGCAATGAGCCCCGAGGACTGGCAGGCCATTGCGGAAGAATGGCGCGCGTCCTATGGCCGGTTTACGAAGGACTTTCAGCCATCATCGACGTTCGTATCGGTCGATGAACATCATTATAGTTCCATTCAGCAGTTGCTCCACCAGTACGGTCTCCACGACATTTTCTCTGATGAAGAGCGGTGGGACCTTGCACTCTGTTGGCATCGCCTCGAGCCTTGGTCAGACTCGGTCGAAGGCATCAGGCTGTTGAACCGTCGCTTCCAGACTTGTACGTTGTCGAACGGCAATGTGTCCCTTCTAGAAGATCTTTTGAGACATGGGTCATTGCCCTTTAAGAACGTGGCCAGCGCTGAGCACTTCGGAGCCTATAAGCCCGCCCTCCAAGCATATCATGGAGCAGCCAAGCGGTTCGGCTTGGATCCCAGTGAGTGTGGTATGGTAGCAGCGCATTTGTACGATCTCAAAGCGGCAAAGAAAGCAGGCTTCATGACGATCTACGTCGAACGGCCCCAGGAGGAAACCTTCACCGCTGAACAAATTGCCGAAGCCAAACAGGAGGGTTTTGTCGATTTGTGGCTCGAGCATAGCTACAGCGGCCTGATTGGAGTGGCTGAGCAACTTGGTGTTCAGAAGGAAACGAGGCTGTAGGATTGAATTCTTGGGGGTGGAATGAGTCCAGGCGCTGGCTTTGCACGCCATTTGCCGAGCACAAAGTGGTGCAATGTCATCTGCAACACCCGAAATATTGTCCAGGGCATTCTCTCTACTGATGCAGTCTTTCCTGTCATTATATCCAGGCATTAGCATATCCCCCTACACGCTGGCTTTAGGAATGGCGATAACTTAGTCTTCGGTTAAATTCTCCAAGCTCTGCCCCGCATCATAAGATGTCATCATCGTGGCGATTTGTCAGCGCCCACACCTCAGGATGTGTATAAACAGAAGCTGACTGACAGTTCGGACGGTAATACTGTAAGCAGTGCGCTCATCTTCCGGTGCTACTTGACATATCAATTACCTTGTCGGCTTTGAACTGATTCAGTTGTTAGCAATATGGCGGAACAGGTATAGATCGTCTTGATGAGTCTGTCTAGAACACGGGATAGCTAAGCTGTGACAGGAATCCCAAGTGCATCGCCATGCTGATGCAGATGGCCACTTCCGACGCAAGGATTCCGCCTTCCGCTCTACCGTATCATCAGATCCTGATGCAGAATTCCCTGCTGAAAGGGATCGTTATGTTCTATACTTGAACTACGGGTGTCCGTGGGCGCACCGGACCAACCTGGTTCGATCTCTCAAGGGCCTAGAGGACATCATCCAGCTCGTCGTTCTGGACCCTGAGCTGGGCCCCGAAGGTTGGTTTTTCTCTGGCCGATGGGGATCCGCAGAAAAAGATCCCTTGTATGGTTTCACAAAATTGAGCCAATTCTATTTCAAGGCGCAGCCGGACTATGAAGAACGCTATACCGTTCCGATGCTTTGGGATAAGAGGAAGGAAACGATCGTGAACAACGAGAGTGGCGAGATCATCAGGATGCTTTACACAGAGTTCGACCATCTTCTGCCGGAGGAGCTGCGTGAGGCCAACCGGCCTGGCGGAGGATTCTACCCGGCACATCTGAGGTCAGAGATTGACGCAATGAATGAGTGGGTGTATCACAAGATTAACAATGGAGTGTACAAAACCGGATTCGCCACAACGCAGGAGGCTTATGACGCGAATGTGTATCCACTGTTCGAGGCGCTGGACCGCGTTGAGCAGCACCTGGCACAGCCAGGCCATCAACCATACCTGTTTGGGGAGAATATCACGGAGGCGGACATCCGACTGTACACGACCATTTGTCGGTTCGATGTAGCCTACTACCTGATCTTCCGCTGCAACCTGAAGATGATCCGACATGATTATCCGCTGCTCGACCGTTGGTATAGACGACTGTACCATGATGAAACGCAGCGTACCCGAGGCGGAGCATTCAAGAAGACCACTTTCTTCGGCATAGTAAGTGAACCGTGATAGTCGGAAGGTGGCAATTGCTAACAGTCTTGAGCAGTACAAGTTCAACTATCTGAAGGCGCTAGGAAAGCGATCGGGCAGTACTCAGACGATCATCCCGGCTGGTCCATTCCCGGACATCCTGCCCTTCGAGGCGTAGTGGATAGTAATGATCACCAGTGGCGCGTGGATAGATTTGCGCGGATATCGGGCATCGCTGTTCGGCATCACAGGGTTTCGATGTTACCATACCCTGCGTTGCTTGAGAAATGTGGATTAAAAGGGATTATTGGGCGCACAGAGCCTGTCCTGGTTCCCGGTTTTGCTCGTCCGTTCCTTAGCTTAAGGAGAGGCGAAGGACAAAATACACGACCAAGCTTCCCATGAATTGCTTTACACAACAGCCACTCTGTCAAAACAGGCGACCGTTAGACTAAAGAACACTGGTCACTTAGTATGATGAAAGGAAGTAGTTTTGCAGTCACCATGTAACTACCGGTCGGCTTATTAGACTTCAAGGCCGCAATTAGACTTTGCTAGTCAGGGCAGTCGAGGGGGCAGATGAGGGACCATCTAACGAGGAGAGGCAATTGAAGCCGGGGGGACGTGTCTAACGCAGAGAAGACCTCGCAGACTATCCGAGGCACGATGCCCGACTAGAGCATTGGTCTACTTCCTAGACTGCCTTGGCAAAAGCCGTCGGCCAAAATGCCCAATCCGGGTCTGGACAGGATTGCCAGGCACGAGGCTTTTTCTAAGATCGGTCAGGATGGATTCGAAGATCGGTTTCATCTGGTCGCAGACGGCTATGCTCTGTTTTAGTGGACGGCATGCAAGACGATGAATGGGATAAAAATTGAGGAGTGAGGGGGCAAAGGTGGGCTCGGCACGATATATTCGTATAATCGTAAAAGAAGTGGGTGGGAAGGAAGCCACCCAGAATGCGTCTAGAAGGAACTAGATATTCGCGACAATTTCCTTTCTCTGCGGAGGTCCTTTCAGGGGGTTCGAACTATATTACTCGCTTCTATGGAGAAGCAGGATATGTGGCGGATTTCACTTCACCCATGCAGAGGCAACGGATAGGGGGGTTTTTTTCAGTGGAAATAAATGAGACATCGGACATAAGTATGGTTTTTGGGGGAAGGAAATCCAGACAGTAGAAGAGTACACCTGTCGTTGACGGGGGGAGGAATGGGAAGGAAACGACCAAGGTTAGCTGTTGGTAAAAACTAGGAAGTGGAAGCTGTCAGGATGCACGGGGATCCAAAGCCATGTGCAAAGTGGGCAGGTCACCTAGTAAATAGTCGATACTAGTCACTAGCCGGTAATTAGTGACCCAGGCGGGTGGGACGCCCTTTTTTTTTTTTTTTTTTTCTCTTCTCCCCTCTCTGCTTCTTACGCTGCTGTTCCCCCCTGATGCGTTCGCATGCTTGGCCGCAGATGGTGCACTGTTTCTCTAGCAACAAGGGCCATCATAATCCTCAAGCAGCAAGCTGCATGCGCTGGTTCAGAAGTTATGCATGATCGGTGGAGGTCGAGATAGTTAGTTATCTACATTGATGCAGGTCCTTCATGGGGTGCATGCAAGTCATGCAGCCGGTAGGTCTAGGTTGGCCGATGGAGAGGGGAGAGAGAAGGGAAGTAAAACGCACTGGCGGCTATACTAAATATTAAGTATGTATGGTGTTGCCGCTCCTAATGTAGGGGTCCTCGACTGGTTTTTCTACACAATACATACATACATCTGTTGTTGAGAGTTGTTAAGCGTTTCATTTCGAGGAGGGAGGGAGAGAGAGGAAGAAAAAAATAATAGTAAAATATAAAACATATATAGAACAAATAATAATAATAATAGTAATAATGATAAAGAAAAATAAAATCAAAAAGCCTTAACCAAAGAATTACCCATTACTCATAGCTTTCTTGACTGGAGCAGGTACGGAAACATGAATCTGACCTGTTCCGGACTAGCCGGCGGTCCATCCACCGTTGAAAGACGTGCGAGTCAGCTTTGATTGTGATGGGACGAAGACTAAGCCGGTAGCGTCGGCTACGACTAACAGACACACCAATGAAGGGAGCGGGCATCCCGTCGGTGTCAGAATTTTCTTCCAGATTACCTATCATGAAGATGACCAGGTCCGGCGATTCAGTGGGAATGAAAAGACCGACAGATTTACTTCCCCGAGGAGGATGGATTCTGGACCACGGAGATATCAACCACACAATACTAGATAGCAGTAGTTACTACTTAGTAGTCCCCGAGAGCTACTTTAGCCACCCACGTGGAAGGAAATGGGGCCGGGATATTACTCGCGATGCTATTTAAAATGATGGATGGCTTCAAAGTCCCAGGGGATAGGCCACATCACGATGGGTTCGCGTTCCTGGTGGATTCGTCGTTGATTAATTCATATTAATCTAGATGTCAACAACGGTTGGAACCCCCCGAGAAGGAAGGTGCTTAACGGATAGATAGCATACAGTAAGCGGGATTCTGCTTGCGACGAGACATTAATGCCTACTAGTTGTGGTAGTGTGAGTGTGTGCGTGTTTTGTGTGGTTATCCAGGGGGATTCATTATTCTCTTATTGAATTTACAGTTTGTCCTCCCGTAGCCCAAAAGACCAAACCCGGTCACACTCGCGGTAAACCAGAACAGGTAACTAATGGGAGAATCAAGCAAGCGAATAGGAAGGATGAATCAAGAGCAGGCCGGTAGGTTCTTCTTCAAAAGATCGCGCCTATAATGTGGCTTGGTAAGAGTTTGTTCGCTCTCAGTCCGGTCAACCGGAGGATATTTTTCTTTCAATCTTGCTCGCTCCGCACAATCTCGATGGGATGGAAGTGATTCGAAGACTGACTCTGGGTGCGTCGCTGTAGTAGGCAGTAAGCTCTAGCTCAAAGGAAGGGCCGGAGGTCCAACTCTCGCGCTATGGACCGGCCCGATACTTGATCTGTACCTCCAACAATAGTAGAAGGTCACCCAACAGATAGCCAGCAAAGTTCAGAATATGCTATTAGTTAGTTAACTAACTACGGAGTATAGGTATTTCACATCGTCTTCGAGGTTGGAGAGCCCTGTGTTACTAGTCAATTAGGTCTCTTTCTTTTCAAGGTCAACGGTACATGCAATACTGTGTGCTACCTCGAACAGTTGATCTCTCCTAACCTATTTAGTGTGTCTCAAGGGGCTACCATTTTAGCTCATGAATGGTGACCTTTTGCTTCCGATAAATCTCCCTATGCTGCAGATGCAATAGGGGGGAAGGACAATGCCTTCCCCTCCCCACCAGGGTGTCTCCAGGGATTTCCCATCCTCAAACTAAGACTGACCGGAAGCCGATTTGTCAAACGTCATATACCGCGGCGATGGAGACTTTTGTTCTACTTAGCTAGCCCCTTTTCGTTGTTCGAGAACGCTACTAGTCTTCTACGATGTTGGGGGCACCTATATCCACGAACCTGTTACTGGTGAACATCAAGGTTAACTCCCCAATAGTGTGCAAATAATGACTAATAGAATACTCGTAACTCACTAGCATTGTCCGAGGTCGTTGAGGTTTCCCACGCACTTCTGGTTGACAAACAACGACGCTTCGCATCCCAAGTACAATGGCTCTTGGGCGAATTTGTTACACTTTTACAAAATCCCGATAATCAGGAAGATTGGTTTTAGTCCGGTTCCCCAGGGGAGAGAGGGGGGGGCGCGGAATGTTCTTTCCTTCTCCCCGTCGCACTTGAGTGGAACTTGCGACTCTTAGGGCATCGTCAACCGCGAAAATCCTCCTGCTACACGGGATGGATGGGTCCTCATGGACCTACTTTGGTCCATACAGACGAGTGGCTTGCTCCATAAGGCGTCATATCGAGCACTGCCTTTCTGGTCCCTTGGTAGAACTTCGGGCAGTCACCTGGTGGCGCAAAAGGTTCTTGTTCACCAGCAGGTATCTAGCTTTACTCGCCTGGGCACGGCATGAGCAAGTGTGGTATGGTTTGCCTTTCATCCATCGCGGGTTAAATGTTGGCACCACATGCGCATTGGATTTCTCTTTGCGCCAGGCGAATGATTGTTCCTTAGTGCCTCCGTGATAGGGACACTCAGAGCTAGTGAACTTGTTCCTGACTCCTGATCCAATCTGCAAATCTGCAATCGGGGCGAATACCATTTGTTACCAGTTACTATGCCCGTTCTGACTTATGTCTGTTGTGGGGAGCCAGCCTTGAACCTAGTGTTTCCATGCACCCACATCGTGTCTACCCGAAACCATCTCAAGACTGAACCTCAAATTGAATGCAACTCCTTGTCCTGTAAGCAGCGGACAAAACAATCCAGGTGGGACAGGGACCGATTTATGATGTAAAGCACGAGGCGTCGCAGGCAGCAAGCTCTAAGCTGGTCGTTCGTTTGGAAGGTTCTGTGGATAGACAAATGCAATAGATAGTTCGTTCCTATGTAATTCTAAAGATTCCTTCCCAAACATATACCCATGTCAGACAGTATGGTCTAGATTCTAGGTTGATCTCGGTTCACTGTATGGGTTGTCGGGTTCAAACTGGTTCGTTCCCAGTGTGCGTGGTCGGTACAACAACATGATCAGAACAGCGAAGGTTGGGTCAACTCCTGCAATTCCCCAATTTACTTGGTAGAGTGTAATCTATATGAGAAATCTTCGATTCTACGTCAGAACAGAAAAGAAAGAGAGAGAGAGAGAGAGAGAGAGAGAGAGAGAGAGAGGAGGAGGGGTTGTTGTTACCTGAAAGTAGCGGATACCCACCGGGAGACTTCCATACCGGGCAAAATGACCGTATCATACCGTACCCTCCCACTTGTTTCCACAACTTCCCGTGGGTCTTGGGTTGCAGCATTGTCCAGCTCCAGATTACTACCTTCTTACTTACCTTCAGTAAGTAGTATGGAAGTTGACTTGGCCACTCACTCATTCACTCACTCAACTTAATGACCTGACGGATTTGACTGCCTCCTGCCTGAGAACTGTCATCCTGTGACCTTTTTTGACTCTTTCGTCCCATCCACTTCTTTCCTATCCCCTCCTTCGGTCGGTCTACTTGACTTTACTTTACCTGACTTACTTCCACCCCCTCCTCCTCCTACTGCAACTTCCTCCCTTCTCTGTTCTTCTCACTCCATCCATCTCGCCTACACTGTATCATTGTTGCCTCTGCTTTTCTCTCTCCCATCATCACCTTACGATCTTTTCGATTCAATCCCAACTCCAATTGTGTCTCGTCCGGTTAGTTTGATTCTAGTAAATCATTGGTTCCGATCTAGACCATCCATTGATTGATTTCCTACTACTACCACTACTACTTACCTCTTGAAACTAAACCGCGGTTGTTGGTCTCCAGCAGGGATCATCGTCTCCGCTACTTCATTATCTATCATCCCTCTATCCTAGTCATCTTTTTTTTCGCCCTTTCTTTTCTTTTTATTTAATTTTCTATTTTATTTTATTCTTCCTCATTTTAATTTTCCCTTTTACCCTCTCCATTCCATCCCCTCATCATCCTTCTATTATTTCTTTCTGTACTTCTTGGAATCCTTCCCATCCTCTGTTCTCTCTCTATTCCTCTCTCCCTCTTTCTTTTCCATTTCCCTCGATTCCTCCTCTCCCGGGTACACCTCTCATTCTTCGGGACCTTAACTTGGAACCATTCCCAAAACAACAACAACAATTGGGGGTTGCCCCTCTTCCGTCGAATCTTTTCCGGCCAAGCCTCTTTGGACCTCTCCCTTCAGGTCCTGCGCCTCTTCCCCTCCTCCCCCTCCACTCTCGTCAAAACTCAGCATCCCCCCCGAAAAAAAAGTCACCTTTTGCAGCCTGCGGATACTTTCTCAGTACATCCGCTGCTGGCGATCATTGTCTGCGTCTCGCCCCTCACGTGGCAGAATTACCTTGAGGCAAACCTTCCTGTGTGTCTCGAAGCTCGGGCGAGCCCCGTTCATCTTATTTTCTTACGTTCACGCGGAGTTCCGGGCCAGCTCACTAATTGAACTCCGCCCGCTTGTGCCATTCTGCAGCTGTGGGTGGCCGCTTATTTGAGAGTCCTCGAGCCAAATCAAGAGGTTCTCCTTCACCACATTCTCTTCCAATATTTGGTTGCTTTTCCCCCCCTCCATTGCTTTAGAGGTCGCAGTAACGAGATTTCGGCGACTTCTTGATCGCTCTTCGTTCACACCTTTCTCCCTCACTCTCTTTCCTCCCCTAATTTCCACCCTCTTCCCACTGCGTTTTAGGTACGTATTTCCCCCTCCCTTACCCCCTCCTCTGGCCTGCTCCTGTCGCTTCCGGTGTGGACTGGTGAGCTTGGACTGGGGGTCCAAAGGCAATGGATTCCGGTGGCTAACCGCACTACCCAAATAGCCGTCCTCCTTAGGACCCCAGCGTTTCGCGAATCGAAACGCTCCGTTCCCGCGTCCGTGCTCACCGTGGAGCCTTCATAGATCTCTTTGCTTTTCTTTTCTTTCCCTCTCTTCCTCTTTTCACTCCTGTGGTCTTTACCCACCCCCGGTTGTTCCCCAGTGACACATTCAATTATCTCCCAACCTATCATCCTACCATTCTGGTAGAATAATCATTCACCATGTCGGGGAAAATGACATTGTACAAATTGGTGGTGCTAGGGGATGGTGGTGTCGGAAAGACAGCCCTCACAATTCAGGTTAGCCCTTCGCGTACCCGCCCGCACTGGTGTCCCGACAACTGATCTTTGGACCTTGGTCTTTCCCAACAGCTTTGTCTAAACCATTTCGTTGAAACCTACGATCCGACCATCGAAGACTCGTATCGTAAACAAGTCGTGATTGATCAACAGTCGTGCATGTTGGAAGTACTGGACACAGCAGGTCAGGAGGAATATACTGCGCTGAGAGACCAATGGATCCGTGACGGCGAAGGATTCGTCCTCGTTTACAGCATCACCTCGAGAGCTTCGTTCTCCCGCATACAGAAGTTTTACAATCAGATCAAGATGGTCAAGGAATCGGCCAACTCCGGATCGCCCTCGGGGGCCAGTTATCTGGGATCCCCGATTCACACGCCTTCGGGTCCCCCGCTTCCGGTGCCGGTCATGTTGGTTGGTAACAAAAGCGACAAGGCCGTTGAGCGCGCCGTTTCGGCTCAGGAGGGACAGGCGCTCGCCAAGGATCTTGGTTGCGAATTCGTCGAGGCTTCCGCAAAGAACTGCATTAATGTGGAGAAGGCCTTTTATGACGTGGTCCGCATGTTGCGACAGCAGCGTCAGCAACAGCAAGGGCGATCTCAGGATAGACGAACGACCGGTTTGGGTGCCGGGCGTGATCCTGGTCCCGAATATCCCAGATCGTTCCGGCCCGACCGTACAGGAAGCCATCGCCGCCCTTTCAAGTGCACGATTCTGTGAATAGTTGGCTCCGCACGGCCCGTTCAGCTGGCTGATTGATTCCCTTCCCGGCTCCTAGATGCTGGCCCCTGCTGCTTCTACTACTACAAGGTTCACACACCTATATTTCTCGATCAGTCAGTGATCTGATAATTTTTTTCGCATTCTTATCTCTTTTTCCCTCTTCCCAACTTACGTCTGCCCCTGGCCTCTCTATCTCATACTTCTCTTATATGACCTCGTGGAGGTTCGGACCAGGGGCGGCATCTTTCCCATGTTCATACCGGTTGGTCGCAATGCGCCGTCCAGCAAGATCTTTACGCAACGTACAACTTTCGACATTTTTATTGTTTTGTTGACGCTCATCCTCTCGGTCCCCAATCCTCGCAGGTGCCCAATCCGAACAGATGCGAGGGCGGGTCAGCGATTGTGCTTGATGCATGAACCATGCTTGTTTATTAATAGTATTATATGTGCCCGGGGGCTGGATTTTCTTTCGCGTCCATGGCAGGGTGTTTCGGCTACAATGGGGGATCTTATGTTTCAGAGGACAGGGTATTCCGGAGCTGCTGGGACCATAGAACGATGCGCAATCTCTGTTCTTGTTTGTTAAATATTTTTTTTGTTATTTCGTTTTCTTCTTGGCTTTGGTTGTCCGACGCCCGTCGGCATAGCGCCCAACCTTCCGCATATATGAATGGCGCATGAAGGGCTAGGAGGCAAGAGGGGCAGCTGGACGAGGCAATGGAGAGCGATGAGTCGGAGGAAGCGATGATGGGCGGCGGTAGATGATGGAACGACTCGTGTGGTAGAGCGAGGATGGCAGTCGACCGTTTAGCAGGCATTGCGATATGATACCCTACGGCTGAGCTTTTGAGTTGTGAAATTTCGATGCATTCGCATTACCACAAAAGAATCACAAAGATGTTTAAAAAAAAAGAAAGATGGATTCCTTCGATAACCTAATATACTATTCTATTTCCGTCACCGGTTGATGTTGAGGGTGGTTCCGTATGCGGGGAGAGACCCAAAGAGTAACTAATGAGTTATACTAGTACTGTGATTATGCTGGTAGTATCTTGACATTTGTAGGTTGGGCAATTGGTAAGTGAATACCTATACTGAAGGTACTTAGTAGTATACATATCAGCTGAAGCTACTAGCTGAAACCAGCTGACCATTGAGGATGTTCCAATGAAGGCATCGGAGGAATTCCTTTTTCTTGAATACGAACTGTCCCATGAGGTAACGTTAACTAGTTAATGGGAGTTGAGTACTGAGTAAGATTGTAACAGCTCGGTTACCGCGTCTGATACTACTACTACTACTGTATGCATGAGGTCTCATTCTTGAGGCTGTCTAACTCAACTGGTCACTAGTCAACATTGGAGTAGTAAGTAGGTTCTGTACTACCAGTGGATAAAGTCTCTTCGTTCATGAGTTTAGCTCATTATTGGTAGACCCTGGTAGACACTCAAAGTATTTTCGCTTTCCCAAGAAATTGAGTGTTAGCAGCGTAGTAGATTCATGAATTTTATTTATCACGGAGGAATCCGACCATGAGAAGAGTCAATGATCTGCTGGAGTACTTAACAGGATGAGAAATGTCTCCATATAAAGCGGAGAAAGATGGTGTGGGTCTCTGTGAAGGGAGGTTGACCAGTTTAGGTGTCATCCCCACCTTTTGGTCTGCCTCCCCCTCATCTTCTCTCTCTCTCTCTCTCTCTCTCTCTTCTTGTCTTGTCTCCTCCCTCTCACCTTTACTCTGCCACTTCCCCTCACTTCTCATCCTCGGTGATCGACAACGCATTCCCCTCGGCTGTCACCGGAGGTTCCTGTCGGTCCAATGTTGTCTCGGTGCGGTCGCGCCGCCGCGAACGCCACTCTGGATGAAGACAAACCATGTTAACCACTTCGGCGGTGCATCGCCCTAGTACAGACCAACACATCCCCGAGCCTGCACGTTAAACGCCGGTGTCCATGCTAACCCCCCTAGACTCACGGCACATCAGCGCGGTCTCGGATAGCATGTCCAATTCTTGACCCATCCCGCGGAATGTGACAGGGACTAACTGCTCAGTATCTGCAAGAGGACCCTCATCCTCCCACCAGAACTGACACCGCTCCCTATTCATATTGGCCATGTTGGCGTGTATTGCTGCCAGTCCATTTCTTGTCTCTTCCATCGGCTTTGCATCCGTTACTATTTGTTTCGGTCCCATCCCTTCGACGCTTTCGAAGAGAGGCCCCTCCCTTTTCCAGCATCGTTCTCGATCCACGATGTCACTCCACCCGCAACAGTTGGTACACAACATCTCCCTGCGCGACCCAGAAGGCTTCTGGTCTCGCCAGGCCGAACAATTGTACTGGCATAAACAGCCATCGCGTGCCATCAATCAGCAAACAAAAACAACTCCCAGTGGCTTCAGTCATTCTCACTGGAGCTGGTTCCCGGACGGAGAGATCTCGACCACCTACAACTGTGTCGATCGGCATGTCCATTCGGGACATGGAGATAATATTGCTATCATCTGGGAGTCCCCGGTAACGGGGACAAAGGAGAAATATACATACAAACAACTCTTGGACGAAGTCGAAGTTCTAGCAGGCGTGCTCAGGGAAGAGGGTGTGCGAAAGGGCGACGTCGTTATTATCTACAGTAAGACTTAATTCTGGATTACCTTCAATTAAGATTTAATGAACCAGAATCTAACGATTGGCAGTGCCTATGATTCCTGCGGCACTTATTGCCGCTTTGGCGATCGCACGCTTAGGTGCTATTCATGCCGCAGTCTTTGGCGGTTTTGCAGCCAAGTCGCTCGCACAACGCATCGAAGCGGCCAAGCCTCGCGTCGTCATGACCGCGTCGTGCGGTATCGAAGGGTCAAAAGGTCCTATCGCTTACCGACCGTTGGTTGAGGGTGCTATCGAGCTGAGCCGATTCAAGCCAGAAAAGGTGATCGTCTGGCAGAGGGATCAGTTGCGATGGAACAACCCAGATAAGTTAGGTGGACAACGTAACTGGCAACGACTGGTAAAAAGCGCACGCATGCGTGGCATCAGGGCCGAGCCAGTACCCGTGAAGAGCACAGATGGACTATATATCATCTATACTAGTGGTACGACCCCGATCTTCAGTGAGGCCCTTGGGTAAAACTGACTCGAGAACCAATTCCAGGCACCACGGGCTCGCCGAAAGGCGTGTTTCGCGAGGCCGGTGGGCACGCAGTGGGACTCCAGCTGTCAATGAAACACCTATTCGATATACAAGGCCCGGGAGACGTCATCTTCTGCGCCTCTGACATTGGATGGGTGGTCGGTCATTCATACATCTTGTATGGGCCACTCTTGGTTGGAGCAACGACGATCCTTTTCGAAGGAAAACCGGTGGGAACTCCGGACGCGGGCACCTTCTGGCGGATTATCGAAGAACATAAGGCCCATGTGTTGTTCACGGCACCCACAGCCATGCGGGCCATCCGCAAGGATGATCCCAACAATCGCTGCTTCAAAGAGGTGGCCCAGCGAGGCGGTCTCAAACACTTTCGCGCACTGTTTCTTGCGGGAGAAAGGAGTGAACCCAGCATTGTCCAAGCCTACCAAGAACTTCTGAGCCAATACGCTGCTCCTGGTGCAAAGGTGGTGGACAACTGGTGGTCGTCAGAGTCAGGGTCTCCCATATCTGGCTTGGCACTAAGAAGTGCTGCGGCAATGGAGTCGCCCACGCCCCAGACTGATGCAGTGAAGCCATTGGCCATTCGACCTGGATCCGCAGGTCTGCCCATGCCTGGATTTGACGTGCGCGTAGTCAATGACGAGGGAAATCCGTTGCCTCCGGGCACGATGGGAAACATTGTTCTGGGCATTCCACTGGCGCCCACCGCATTTACGCAACTCTTCAACGACGACGATCGATTTTACCGGAGTTATCTACGTAGATTCAAGGGACAATGGCTCGACACCGGAGACGCAGGGATGATCGATAAAGACGGATTTATACATATCATGGCACGATCCGACGACATCATCAACGTCGCGGCGCATCGCTTCAGTACGGGTAAGTCTCGACGTCGCATCACTGAATCTATGTAGGGAGAGTAGATACAGGCTAACACTTCAATGAAAGGTGCCATCGAGCAAGCAATCCTCTCGCACCCGCAAATCGGCGAAGCCAGCGTGGTTGGCCTTCCGGACCCGCTGAAGGGCCACCTCCCGTTCGCGTTCATTCAGCCACGGACCGCGGCCGGGCCCATTCCCGCGAAACCTACAGCGGAACTGTTCCAGGAGGTGAACGGGCTGGTGCGCGACCAGATCGGAGCAATTGCGTCCCTGGGAGGCATGATCCAGGGCCGGGGAATGATCCCCAAGACGCGCAGTGGGAAGACTCTACGCCGGGTGCTGCGGGAGCTGGTTGAGCATGCAGTGCGCGGGGAGTACGAGGCGCCGGTGAATGTGCCGCCGACGGTGGAAGATGCCGAGGTTGTGGATGAGGCACGACGACGGGTGCGGGAGTACTTTGAGCGGCAGGAACGGGCGAAGCTGTAATCACTTGTTGGATAACATGAAATACATATAAAGCTGTACGGGTGACATTTGTTGATATATATGGCTGTACCTGCCGAGTTGGATGCCAGGTGTGTGGAACTTCCCCTATTGACGGTCGATGCATATTGTATTTGTCAATGCACGAATGAGATTTATGTATCTATTGAATGAATATACGCAAATACTATAAGTTGAACATATGTATGTATCTGTATCTGAATTGCTTCAGAGACGTGACTCAAAACATTAAAGTTATAGACAATAGAAAAGCGAGGACATGAACAACCGGAAGCCAAGCGATGCGAAGCCATAGATGAATATAAATAAAAGAAGAGAAAAACCATAGACGTCAGAAGATTCCAATAAGGTATAAAGCACACAATAAGTTATTTGTCAGTCGAGTCGTAAAAGAAAAAAAGGTAAAAAGTATCGACACAAACAAAGGAAACCACCCATCCGATCATTTACCTCCACTGATTCGCTAGTATCCAGTAGATTCTCGCATGGTATAGATAGAAGTCCCGAAAGTCAGAAGGGGCCTTCTACATGCCTCTATAGATCTGATTCCAGGTCACACACACACTCACTCAAGTCAATTCATTTACAGAAGGAAGGCGACGAGAGCGAAGACGGAGGCCAATCCGGCACCAGCACCGGCCGCGGCGCGGGTAGCGGCGCCAGTGAAGACAGGGGCGGAGGGAGTGGTGGCGGAGCCAGAGCCAGTGCCAGCGGCGGAGACACCCTCGGGGGAGGTAGCAGAGGAGCCGGAGCTGGAGCTGGAGCTGGAAGAGCTAGCAGGGGCGGGGCTAGAGGTAGCGGGGGTGGCGCTGGAGGAAGCAACGAGCTTGGAGGAGGCGGGCTTGCTGCTGGGGATCAGAGGGCGAGAAGAGGGGTGGAAGCCACTAGGGGTGGGGACCGGGGTGTAAGAGACGACCGGAGTGGTGGCGCCGATTCCAATGGCACCGGCTCCGCTGGGACCAGCGGAAGCACCGGGGGAACCAGCTCCGGAACCAGCGGCAGCACCGCTGGGGGAGGAGCCGGAGCCGGATCCAGAGCCGGATCCAGAGGCGGCCTCACTGGGGGAGGGACCGGTACCGACAGCAGCGGCGCCGCTGGGGGAAGAGCCGGAGCCAGAGCC